ATTTGGGTCATATTACTTTATTTTGAGTGGAGTTGTCGCTGGTTTATCTCGTTATAGTTTATATTTTCTCACTGCTTGATAACGACAAAGGAAGTCTAGTTGAAACGTCGCTCATTAAAATGTCAACCTACTTTTAAAAAAAGTGATGGGAATATTGTATAGTAAGCATAACAAAATTGAATGTCGAAACTTTACTTAAGTCAGTTTGAGACTAACATGTGATAATTATTTATGTCCATGTGGATCCCGAATGCGTCATCCACGACATGTGAGAACCAAACTATATAGAAACTCCCGAAAATGTGGCATTTAGTCCTGTGAGAACCAAACTATATAGAAACTCCCGAAAATGTGACTTTTAGTCCTGTGAGAACCAAACTATATAGAAACTCCCGAAAATGTGACATTTAATCCTGTGAGAACCAAACTATATAGAAATTCCCGAAAATGTGACATTTAGTCCTTATAAGTCCAGTATCCCCACCGTAAAATCACGGCATATGTTGTACGTCACCGACATAATTAATTCTAAAGTTAAAGGGCGTAAAACATCTTCGAAATTACAAATATAAATTATTGGTCCATTTCAATCAATAGTTATGTTGTTATCTTACCGTGAAAATTTGGGCACGTATAGTACTATCGGACTTCTTTTCTTGTTGTGTTTGTTTCTTGGTAATTTTAACAAGACTACAGCATCAATGGTTTTACAACTTTACTGCTAAGCTGTAATAGCTTTGAAAGTTCCTCGTTCTCAATAATAATGGCTGCTAGGAATTTTTGAATGAGCTCTGGTCCAACTCGCTCTACCCCCTAATTTCTGCAGGTCTTCGATAAAATTGACGTTAATTTCCATCCCATATATGGAATAAACCTCTTTATTTCACACGACTAAAGGAGGAGACATTACCTTGTTTGGTCTACCAACCATAAGTCAATTGGGCGGCTCGCGTAGAAATTACAATGAAAGTTTTAAAAATTGTATGTATATATAGAATAATGTAAAATTATTATTTGTATTTGACCCATTTTCGCCCATTTTAGGTTAAAAGGACTTTATGACAACTAGGTCGCCTGTTATTCAGTAATATTTAGGTTTTTATCCAGACCATCAGGTATTGCATTGCCCCAGTAGCTGTTTGACCATTCCACCCCTGTATGTATATAGGTTCTAAATGTATCTGAATTACTAGCTTGTGGATGGTTATGGATAATGCAGTCTTACCGACGAAAACAGAAACGTTTTTGTGTACACATGTACGATCGTACTATGGACCAAGAACTGACCCTGGCCCATGTTGTTCAATGGAATTCAAAAATCTCATTCTCCAAATCGATGCGGAATTGTTCATGATGGCTATGTGGAGGTCGGGCGTTCGATCCCTGCATTGGCCGAAAAAGTTCATCCACATTTTCCGGCGTGGTTCCCCTTTTCATTGTTACAGGGCAGAGGGCCTGACAAGGACAGCTGTCTAGTCGTTCGGATGGGACGAAAAACCGAGGTTCCGTTTACACATTGGAAGACATGCAGCGTAGATTGGTTGTTATCGTAGCAACGGTACTTGACAAATGAGACTAAGCCTCAATTATCCATTTTATCTTTGAATTTGTAAAATCTTAGTTTATATAACATTTGAAGCTAAAGTAAGACATGCAATAGGCAGATTTATTTCTTTACAGAACGCATCTACTCAGACTACTAGCAGAAATGTTATAATTCTGTATTTTAAAATAGTATAATAATCGAAAAATTGAAATAGAACATTTGGCTGCTGGTGATCTGGACGAAGCAGAATAATTTTCATGTCTGAATAACACCGTCAAGAATTCTAATTACATTTCTTTTAAGACTTTTTCTCCAAGTGAATTTCTAAGTTGTCAATAATCGAATTGTTAACATTAAAGCCTTAGATTGTACAATTACTTTCAGATAGAAGAGAGAATCTAACGTGCGAGATGTTTAAATAATTAATTATGGCCAATACTAGATTTGATTAATTCTACTTAAATAACCTGGACGCGGTATTAATATTAACTCTTACAAACTCAACAAGAACAGGTGCTTCTGTCATATCTAAATTCGCGTGACCGGAATACACTGTCTGTATGAGTTGGATACAGACCACCCAGAAATTCATCAGTTTTGACGTCCCCCCATTTGCTTGCTGTGAATATAGTTCTTGCTGTATCTTGTCTGTCTATCCCCGACCTTTTTCCCCAAATGTGTATGCCGGATTTTGTTGACTTATTGGTGGACAGTCGAAGAAAAGAGCTAGGATTTACCATGTTTTTTTGTGAATAATCAGGATATTAAGACTGAGATAAGAGTTTGTTTACGTTGAAGTGTATGAAATAACATGGGATGGGATTTAACATACTACCTTTCTGCACCAAACGGGATAGTGAGGACGGAAACACCTCATAGTGTGTGCTATCGGAGGGAGAGAAGGGTTCTTTTAGGTTAACGCGCAACGTGTACACAGGGCCTTGGGTTTTCGTCCCATCCGGACGACTAGACACTGTTCCTAGTCAGGCCCACCGTCATGCAAAGGGCTTTAACGTCCACTCGACACAAACTAGGTCATTTCTGGACTAAAATATGATTCAATTTTATTTCAATGATTCCCTAGCGCATAGGTGTCTATAGCAGTGGGAGGAAACCGGGGGACTCTGAGAAAACCCACGAGGTTGGATAGGCGACCCTACTGCGTGTAGCGTACAAGCGGGGAATCGAAACCACACCACTTGACTCAATGCCAGACCTTTTGATCAAACGCACACGCGTAAACCATTTACCTCTAAAATAGAAGAAGAAAGTATGAATTCATATTTTTTGAATACAGTTATATATACGGCGGATGTTTACAGTATGCTACTTCCAATTTGTTTATCTCAAACATTGCATGGTCAACATAAGACACGCTCTGGGGCAACATATCGCCATCAAAGCGAAAATATGGCGAAAGTATGGACCCGGGCATAGAGACAAGAAAAGACACGGTGATAATATATGGACCAGCTCACCAATTATTCCTGCGCTCATTATTCCTACGAAACATGGGCGAAGGCTATTTTTAGTCTTCCTATAACTTTCCCCTTTCCCCTCTTTTGCATATCGATCCTTGTTGTGTTTTGGTGTAGAATCGAAGAAACGGTTTTGAATAGGTTTTTGTGAATATTCGTGATTTTGAGGGAGTGGGGGGATACGAGAGTTAAGAGGTTGGTTAGGTTGAAATCTGGTGCTGTAAATTGCATGTTTACTGGTCTCTACTTCGAACCCCATACGAACTTTTGGGCAAGAGGTTGTCACATGTTGCTCCATCTGTGGTAGAAAGCGTTCTACCCTACGAAATACGAAAATTTGGGAAAAATAGAGCCGGACTAAGAAACGTGAATTAACATTAAAGTAGCTAAGTCTTTAACTCAGTATGATGCACGATCTTCGACATTACAAACACAGCTTATTGGTCAGTTTAAATCAACATTGATGTTGCTATCTTACCGTGAAAAGATTGGCTTCTGGTATCCAATATTTAAGACACAGCGAAAATTTTAAACTTGGCACACGAGTGCCATTTGTAATGAAGTGACTGGGTGAATGAGGTTAAACATAACCCACAAGGAAAGACTACTGGAGTAGATTTTAATAACCATACGCCAAAGACTGCCATTTAATTTGCACCCTTCTCGTATTTCGCCGAACATTACTGATTAGAAATTACAGCAAAAACATCGTCGCGTATTTTCTGCTGATGTACAATGATTTTACGTCAATATCCAGGCAGTTGCTTGAATGTGGTAATCTTGCATTTAAGCCAACCAGAGTTATTTGCCCTATTATGAACACAGTATTGGCTTTCTTTTCTCATTGCATTTGTACAATAATATGTAAAATTTCTTGCGACAAACCATTGATGATTAGGTTCAAAATATCGTTTACCTTCATTTTGCTGTAAAAAAATAAACTGGGGTTTAACATCCTATTTTTCTGCATCAATCAGGTTTATGACGACGAACATTCGCCGTGCAGTATGCTATGCGGTAACTTTTATCCTAATCTTTTTTGGTTCCTAACGCCAGGGGTTCTTTAGTGTGCGCATCAGTGGTTACTATGGATCTAGGATTTTGGTCTTTCCGAACGACAAGAAATCGTCTTGGCCAACTCCGGGATAGAACAAGCGAAATATTGATTATTCTCTCGTTTCTTAAAGATACATTATGGGAGATAAGATAAAGAGATGGCAGTTCTCGCTATAATAGTTAACTACTAGACAGTGTAAAGGTAATTTGCTGAAAATTTCAGTCAAATTGATCCACTATGAGCCGAGAAAGAAGCCGGTGAAATTTTTGCATAGTCTCGGTTATCATTACTAAAATCATTAATATAAACAGCATAGTCTCGATTATCCACTTTTTTCTGATTTAATTATCTTTGGCCGTTAGCGGCATATAGGAATCTAATCCAGCCTACATCGAAGGCTAGCCTTGACATCGAGAGTTTATTATGGTCTGGATAAGTTAATTAATGTCTAATTGATAATTTAGATAACATTTCAGGCCTAAAGAAGGAAACCGGAGGACCCGGAGAAACCCCACGAGGTTGGACAGGCGACCCTACTCCTTGTCACGTACAACCGGGGATTCGAAACCAGCCAGTTGACTCAATGACAGGCTTTATGATAAAGCGCGCACGTGCTAACCATTCAGCCATCCAACCCCCCTAGTCTATATAGATTCAGTAAGTAAATATGGATAAGTCCTCTGAATAGACGATAGTAGGGTTACAATTTACCCAGTGGCTGTACAGTGCAAAGGAGCTATATAATATACTCCATATATATTCAGTAATTTTAATCAAAGTAAATATTTATAAATCTTCTGAATAGATTATAGTAGGGTCAACTGGCATTGTAAATATATAATTTATTCGTGTTGTAAACATCAGTGAGAAACACGTGAACTAGGTGAAATATAATATATTAATTTACGGCAGTATTCGAGTAGATACTGTGTACCTGGCAAGTTGGTAGAACAAGATGAGGTTCTTCTATCTCATACTCGTATTATACACCGGTCCTGTCAAATCTCTTCAAGATATTGGTACGTTTAAATTCATTTATATACTGGAAACTCTCTTTAAGTTATTGGTGCGTTTAAATACATTTGTATATTGTAAAAACTCTTCAAGATAGTGGTGCGTTTAAATACATTAATATATTGTATACAATCTGTCTATTAACCGGAACTACGTTTCTACAATCATTCTCTTGTCGTGTTAAAACTCCGGTCAAAGGCAGTGATTGCTTTCCTTGGAACTTTTGTAAATGTGTTCAAATGCTAAATGATTTTTAAACAGTATTGATAGGCTATTAACCGAGTGTTACTCCTGGATCTGCATTTGGATAAATCCTATCTTTCTTCGCCAAATCATGTAGCTATAGGTGTTCATAACGGATCTCCCTTATTTTGTGGTATGCGAAATATGTACATATACTTATTTCGCACGAACTAGGACATCACAGTTTGCAAAATTGCATTACTCTAACGAGGACCAATGTTATAAAACTTGGGGTGCATGCTGAGGGGAGGGGGTGACGGTGGTGGTGTCACATTTCCTGCTGAAAGATTTGGCCGTGTAATATTTATGATATTTCATAAAAAAAAACTTACAATGGTTAAATGTTGCAACATCAATCTAACAAATAATCCGTATGCGTAGATGGTGATTAAGTCTTTGTGGCTAACTTAATTAATGTAGGTTGTCGTGCTCGTGACCAATATCAGTTTTAAATATATTTGATGTTTTGTTTAACAGAATCATATAATTATATAAATGAAATAGTAGATAAATATGTTGTATTTTCTTTGACATGGTAGGGCTGATTCATAATATTCCGTAACGGTATAAGCTATTTGAACCATACTACTAAAAGTGTGCATTCTGTATGTTAAAAAAAACTATTGCCCAGTAGCATGTAGGCAATATAAATTACCCTGTAAAGCCATCTGTCGCCTCACTCTAAATTGTTGGATTAACCATAAATCTTATATAACTTTCTCCATATGTAAACTACTGTCAACATTGCATGAGTCAGATGTCTTTATATTGTAATTTATTGCTTTTAATTTTATTTTTTTAAAACTTTACGTAAGTTTTGTGTCATATTTACAGGTTGGTTTTGGCATGCGTCAGATTTTCATTACGACTTTTCGTATTGGTCAGACCAGTTATCGTGTAATGATGAAGTGACGTCACCTGGTATCTATGGAGATTATTGGTGTGATTCACCATGGTTACTGATAAAAGATAGTATTGAGTCGATGAAAGAGATCAGAGCTGACGTGGACTTCCTTCTGTGGACAGGGTAAAACTATGATCACATTAATCAAAGATTCACTGGCCAACTTCAGTTATTTTGCCATCTTGGTTTATTTTCAATGCGAAAATGCGAACCCATAGTAAAAAAAATAAAGGCCTCCACTCGATCCAGGCCAGAAACAAATCCAGTAAGGTACCCCCCCCCCCTCAACAATCAAAAAAGGCGATGCCGTGCTGTAACTATTCAAATAGAGGCCCGGAGTTGGATACCGATATGTTTCCTCGGATTTTCTACCGTGGTTTCTCCTTGTCATTGCGGTAGATCTGTCCTAGGTGCAATGTACATGATGGCGTGCGCGCGTAAAAGAACCCATGGCATATGGAATAAGACGAAGAAAATACCGTGAAATAGAACATCGGATGTACACGTTAAACCCCAGTTTATATGCGGGAATGTTGGTTGCTGATCATATGTGCTAGTCGATGAAAGCCTATAAAAACCGCAGTAAATATTGCGCATGAATAAAATGATTGATTAGATATTCCCAATACAGTAAACGGTAGGGGTATTCGGAACTAAAACGCAATGAAGACAATGCAAATGAAATGAAATGAAATGAAATGAGGTTTAACGTCCTACTGTTCTGGAAGACAATGCAACTTGGGCCCTTGTCTACAGAAGTTGTTAACGATATGCTCGCGTCTCCTTTAAGACAATCTTTCATTTACATTCATAATTTTACCGTACTGTCTAGTACAGCGGTTCCCAACGTTTTGTGTACCATCCCCTACCTCAACATCGCAAATTAATTTGATATGAAAACAAATTGAGTTTTATAAAAGTAGATTATAAAATTAAATTTATCAAATAAGATATTGATTCCTTCCAAATGAAATAAAACTATTAAAATAAAATAATAAAACATCAGAAAATAACAATTTTATAAAGTGATTAGTTTTAAAGTATGTAGGATTGGAGACCGGCGTTTCCGACAGTCATTTGTACAAAAAGTTGCTTTGGCGTAAAAGAAATAATCGAACACGTAAATTACTTCATATTGACATCATTTTCAAATTGCACACCCCCCTCCTTTGTGGGGCGTGCACTTCACGTTGGAAATCTAGTATAATCAAAGAGGTACATTTTTTATTTTGTTTCTTATTTAGTGACAATGTAGCTCATATATCTGATGACTATCTCAGTGTTGATATCAGTATGGGAATACTTCAAAATATTACCGATGAACTGCAGAGGAATTTCCCGGATGTACCCACATATGCTACACTGGGAAACCATGATTATTTCCCCAATAACCAGTTCCCTGCTGAAAATAGTGAGATTTATGACCGAGTAGCGGACATGTGGACAGACTGGATAAGTGATGCAACCGAAATTGCAAGATTCAGAAACGGTAAATATAACCGAATTAGCTTTATAACATGCTTGATATTTTGCATAGTCTGTTCTGTATATGCTCGTGGGTCTATATATGGATATAAATTTAATTTTTATACCAGTTTAATAACTTTGAATTAACTAAATAACAATAAAAACACCAAAATATAAAAAATTGTCTCATGCTAGTTTTTCGTAATCTGTGCCGTTGTGTCATTAAAAATATACGTTACTACATTCTGGACATCACTGCATTGGCATCATTTAACTGTAACCAGTGATTGGCGTCGTGTACGAGGCAATCTGATTAAAGTAGAGATCTATATTTCGTTTCGTTTTTTTATACTTTCGATGGCCTACACCACATGAAGATCTGACCGGTTGTTCTGAAAGGTCGTGTCAGAGGTCGTACGAGCGGCGTTTGACTCTGTGACGTCAGCCATTGATTAATCAATCAATCAGCGTTGACGTTTCTAGTGGTTTCCTACAGTTCCATGCATCGCAGGCCAATAACTGGCCGTAACAGACAGTTTCATTGTCTAATCCCTCACTTAAACGAGAACGCCGGTTATATAACAACTCTTCCAGATCCTAGTGTAGTAAAGACAAGTGAAACTAAATTTTAAACTATAAAAAACGAAACGAAATAGGATCTGTGTTTTAATCAGATTGTGTACGAGGGAGATTTTGCTTACTATATAAACAACAGATTTAAAATACTACTTTATTTGAAAAGTAAGCATAGATGATAAATATTGTTGTACTTCTATATTATCAGGTGCTTCGCCAAAGCTGGAAACATCAATTGGTTAGAGCACGGTTTAGTAGAAATTAGAATATAGTTTATTGGAAAATCAACTTTTGTATTCTTGATACATAGTTCGTGTCGAGTGGACGTTAGCCACCCCCCCCCCCCCATCTCTCTCTTGATTTTTTATTTAATATGCCAGTAAAATGAAAAATGAATTACATAGAACTATTTTGTTTCACACAGGTTCGTACTATTCCGTAAAGTCAAAACATGGTCTTCGAATTCTGGGCTTAAACACTAATATATATTATACATCGGACAAAGTGACCGCTAATATGAGCGATCCGGCTGGACAATTTGAATGGCTAGACCAACAACTTACTGCGGCTAAGACTAACAACGAAAAGGTATTTAGAGAGCTTTCCTAACGTATAATCGTGAAATAAAATCACACGTATGGCAATCCCTGTGTGATAGACAAAGGGTAATAAACCTGTGCGTTTCTTTAAAACAGATTGATGTCTTTAAGATAATCGAATCCCCGGTTGTACGTGGCAAGGAGTAGGGTCGCCTGTCCAACCTCGTGGGTTTCCCCCCACTGCTAAAGACCCCTACGCGCAAGCGAATTATGTAATTAAAATTAAACCATATGTTAGTCCCGAAATGACCTAGTTTGTGTCGAGTGGACGTTAAACCCCATTTCTCTCTCTCTCTCTCTTTAAGATAAACGGGTATTCCTCATCGCTAAGTTAGTATAATTAGACATTAAATCATTTTAGTATTCTGAAAGCGTATTTAAGTTGAAACATTGTTTAGATACCTCAACTATTAGTCACACATATAGTTTAGGGTCTGTTTCCTTCATGCCTTCAAATTATAGCTGTTTACGGAAATGAAATACAATGGGGTTTAACGTCTTAGTTTTCTGCACCATCAGGGATAATGAAGAGAGACATGTGGCATGCAGCGTGCTTTCAGGACAGTACGTCCCGAATAGTAGCGTTTCTTCCTACTTGTCTTCCAATTCCAACTGCCAAGGGTTCTTTTACGTGCCTGCCATTGCGTACACGCTTTTCCTTGTCAGGGCAAACCAGGCTTAAAAATCCCGAGCAACATTCTCGGACAACACCAGGATCGAACATCGGGTTAGTGAGCCAACTTAATACTCACTGGACCGCTGAGGCCCACGTTTAAATCTACTACGCGTATAAGTAAGGTGGTGTGTTAAGGGCCGGGGGTAACGGAAACTGCACGCAGCGATCCATCTACGTCATACGTCATTATGATCACTGCCCTATTTAGCCGCCATTTAAAACGCTCACGTGATCATTTTGGGGCGGGACTTATTGACTGGACTACAGCTTTGTGTACACAACAGAGTAGAAATAAACCGATCAAGCACGTGTTTCATGTCTTTAGCAAAATGTCAACTTCTGCCAATCAGGTAAAAGCGATATATAATATGTGCTAGTGGGTAATATTGCAATACATTCTTTGCCATTGTAAACTGTCTTTAGAGTTCCAATCTGTTTATCTTTCCAAACAAGGTTAGATACTCCTAAATTTGTCTTCGTAAACAAAACAGCCTCTGTGAATAAACATATTTAATTTCATTCAATATGACAATAGAAGAGAAATAAATACTTCTAAAAAATACTAAATGCATACTCAGTGTTTTCGACTAAAATCGTCAATGTAGGAATTAAAATGTCGGTTAATTAGCTTGGGCCTGTTTTCAGGCGGAGCTAGCAGTAGAGAGGCAGCCTAAGTTTGGGATGGGGTTACAGTTGATGTTTTTTAATACCTTACCTTAAAAAAAAACAACATTACAAGGAGTTAGGTGGGGGTTTTATATGAAAAATTATGATATTCTAAATATTTTATTTTGAAGGTTTTGATAACTGCTCATATACCGCCAGGTATTCATACACCAAATACTATTCTATGGTTTTATCCACATTTTAATGATAAATTTATAGAAATAATCAACAAACATGTTGACAATGACGTCATCACAGCAATGTATTATGGACACGATCATTCAGATGGTTTTAAGATATTCTACAAGAAAGACGGTATGTTGTATATTTTTTAAACAATAATCCTTGTCTTCAATGGAGATATGTTATCCAGACATTAACATAGATCACCAGGCACATATAAACACTGACTATATTTATATTCTTTAAAAACAGAGCTTTAGATAGGCACCAGTTTAATGTTTGCTTCCTGCTCGTAAAAATGTATTTAGAGACAGGCGGTATTTTTAATTATACACCGATGTCTTTACTTTCAGGAACCGCAGCTTTTCCTATATTTGTAGTACCGTCTGTTACACCGTGGCGCTTTAAGGCTGGAACAGAAACTGGCTCACCTCATAATCCAGGCGTTCGTCTGATCAGCTATGATAGAGCAACTGGACAACCTATCAACATTCTAATGTATTACATAAATTTACCTGATAGTAATGCTAATAACAGAACAGACTGGAAGTTAGAGTATAACTTCACGCAAGCGTATGGGGTCGATGACGTCACAGCACCATCTCTACATAAATTAAGACTACGAATGGAAGAGGATAAATCGTTAATTGATCTGTATTATAAGTTTAAAGATGTCTCCGTGTCCAATCCCGCATCTTGTAATGATGATTGTAAAACTTCAATTATTTGTGGTTTTTGGAATCATAAGCTAGATGATATAAACACGTGCACTGAAAAGGGAAAGACCACAGATAATCCCGCAGATAATGCTGTTCCGCTACAAGCTAATTTGGCAACAGCTGTTTGTTTGATTTTATTTGTACAACATTTACTACTTTAAATATAATCCTTGGGTTGCATTTAGCAATTGAGCACATTAAAAAACACAACCCAATTTATATGGAAAACAATCACTGGTTTATACACATATAGCACGACGTTTCGACAACTATTCTCTCTTATCGTCATCAATTGTACTTGAAAACGATAAGAGAATAGTTGTCGAAACGTCGTGCTATATGTGTATAAACTAGTGATTATTTTCCATATAAATTGGGTTGTGTTTTCTACTACTTTAAAGTTGTGGTACTTGCATATCATAAGAAATGGATTTTTAGTGATCAACCAATAAATAAGGCTTGTTCCGAAGTAGTGTGTGTTGTTGTTGTTTACAATTTTAACGTCCAATACATTGGTAATAACACTGTGCCAGACTGGTGTTTCATATACCATAGGTAGGATGGTTATATACTTGTCTTAAATAGAGATTGCCTTGTTTACATTTTCACAAAGTATTTTGCATAAATTAATAAGAACCTTAGTAAGAGTCCAGTAAATGGTTGTATGGGTTAGGTTTTCAATATGTTAAAAAGAGAAAACTGTTTATATTATGAAATACCCGTGTTTATGGTTACTCGGTATGAATTCAAATCGTCGACTCTATACTTGGTCTTGGCGTGATTTTCATTAGACGAATCCCAACACTGAAATTTCGGTATTATTTTCAAGAACCTTAATCTAGAAATGCAAAGAAATTGATAATACTAATCCTACGACAATAAAATTAATATTAAATATATTTTTAGAAATAAAAAGATTTTCCGGGGGGCCGATTCTATGTTTTTGTGTCCAAGTAACCTAAACACATGTATTTTTTTTTCATGGCCTAAGATAACGGCTAGCAGTTCTTTTATATACACATTTGCATGGGTACCTAAACATCGACACTATTACTTAAGAAGTGATAATAAAAGGAGCCCAGAAACCATCACCATGTCGCCACAAGAAAATTTATTTGAACAGCTCTGCATAATGACCATCATCTACCAATAGATCGGAATCCATTGGTTACTATTGAAGTCGTTAATTTCTAGATATGCCCTTTCCTTGCCACTTAGGGACAGATCATCTATATGTAAATAAATCTGTATATGCACAAGTCAAACAACATATGTACTAAATTTGATTGAGATAATTTTGGTCTACATTTACTCCTCTTAGGTGCCCCGCCTCACCTCTATGGGGCTGATCAACTACAATGGAACAAATACGCTTACCCATCAGCAAAGAAACTGACGAGACTGTCTAAATTGTCCCTTTAAATTTTCTCTCCCACCTTTGGGTTCAGTGCAAGCGACCATTTGAATCTAAATTAGCACAACAAATCGGGTTGAAGTCCATTGAGGGATTTTGGGAAAACAGTCAAAAAAGTTTTAAAATAAGCCAAAATTTATCCCATTAAGGTACCCCGCCCCAGCTTTGTGAACAAATACGAATAACACACAACAATTAGTTTAGGAGAAGAAGTTGAAAACGTGTGAACATATCCTTATTTGCCCTTTTAGTGAGCCTCATGGTCTTGCGTTATGGACGCCAATTATAGAGGAGAAATAATTCCATACTTTAGAATAATTAATGGTTGACAAGAACAGGTAATAAATGAGAGCCTGTGTTTGGTTTTTATTTTTTACTTTTTTTATCATTTATTTCTTAAAAATAAAGCATCAAGGCATATGTTGTGATTACAATATATGGAAGCATGGCCCCTCTCAATCCTCCGCCGGTAAAGTCAATTCTTTGAGGCATCGTGTTTTTAATAATATTCATAAATGTATGGAGTCATAAAACTGCTTCAGAATTTCCAGATATACCGTTTATTAAGGGATGGTATATCGATGATTCATGAACATATCTCGTAAACTATTCTCGTTTTGTTTAAAAACCTTCGACAAGAAGTATGTAGATATTGTTATATTGCGTGACAATTTGGTATATCTAACCATAAAATGTTAGTACATGTACAAATCTATATTATACCTTAGATTCAAACTATATAATACTTATCTTTTCAATACAAATATACATAAAACAATCGTCATTAATAATATTATGATGGAAATAGTCACAATGAAATCATTACCATCCAGTAATTAAAGAATTGAAATGTTAATATCGGTCTATTGGTACAGATTAACGTACATTTATTACAAAAGCTAACTGTCCTGCTTTGCTTGCATTTTACATTCACGAATATCCGGCCTTAGTTCCTACTTAAAATGTGCACTCTGTGCTGGCATTACCTACCCCCTTAAGGATATTTAAGCTTTGAAGCACAAGACAGCCCCCCCCCACCCCACCACGACCCCCTATAATTTAAGAATCGAAATTTGATGACAAATGCTTTTCTCCGGAATTTACAAGATTCAACTAGTGGTGTTTTCACATTCTCAAATTTCTCCACTGATTTAAGATGTACGATTCGTAGAAAATCTAAGATGTCCATTTTCTGTTTGGATACAATTTAAAATTTTCGCATCAATAATAATGAATAATGAAAAAATGAGATAATGAGAAGCATAATAAACATATATGGATAAAAAAAATGTCAAAAGCGATAAAAACAATAGTAGGCAAAAATGCGAATTTCTAAACACGCAAACAATGTTTAGAAATAAGAGATTAAACATAGATCCATTTTATACGCACTGCTAACGTTTCATTAATGTCCCGACGTGCCATTTGCATTTTCGCTAATATATAAAATTTCTTATACGAGTTAATACACGCTAAATACGTACTCAGATTGATTATTTAACATTTAATTAAGAAAACACAATCAAAATAGATTTCTCTGGCTTCTTGTTATGCTTGAGCAGCATAAATCGGTGAAATTTCAATTCCACATATCTTTGTAAATGGTGAACGAAATTGAGCCATTTTCGAACTTATATTCATATTAGAGATTCACCTTTCATAATAATGTAGTTTGCAATTGATTCCTATTACTTAGAAAGGCGCATCAGGACTTTTAAGCATTAAAATACACGTAAAGCCATGTTTTGAAAGTAGCAGACTATATCATATGCAACAAATACGTTAAACACATGCATGCGGTTACGATTACTGATGCAGGTTTGAGAACCGTGTTTGCACTTCTGGTGTATGAATCCTTGCAAGAATTGAATTCATCCTTCTTGTTTTGGGAAAAGCCACAAAGAATGGAATTTCTACAATTATCATTACAGGTTGGTGGATTGGTAACAGAAACATCTTTATATTTATAGTACATATCTACCAATGATCTGTCTTTTACCATTCGCTCCGTTAATTTATGTAAAGAGGGCGCTGTGACGTCATCAATACCATACGCATCAGTAAAGTTATACTCTAACTTCCAGTCTGTTTTGTTGTTGGCATTGCTCTCAGGTAAATTGATGTAATAAGTTAATATGTTGATGGGTTGTCCAGTTGTTCTATCATAGCTAATAAGACGAATTCCAGGGTTATGGGGTGAACCAGTGGCTGCAGGTATTTTATATCGCCATGGAGTTACTGAAGGTCCATTAAATACAGGAAATGCTGGGGTACCTGTAAAGAGATTTATTGTCGAAATATTATAGGAGTTGGTAACATTGGCTGGTGTCGAGTACGAACATTATGTTTATAGGGTGAGACTGACCATTAAATCTGTCCCTTTAAGCACACTAAATTTAACAAAAGTCATTTTAATATGATTTTAATTCGAAGTGTCTCAAAAACTAGCACATACACACCCATCTTCATAATCGATCTGGAGATATGAATACGAAGAAATCCGAGATTTTGGAATTTGATTATGCCTATAAATTTATTTTTTGAGTGAAATAAAGATTTGAACAAAAACTGGCGTGTATCTTTAAAGTAGATTTTGATATTGCGTTTTCTTTGCTCGCGGTGGCAGTTAATGTGATGGGCGGCCAATGGTTGTTCTAGACTGCGATGTACTGTTTGTATATCGAGTGGGTTCAAACAAAAGCTTGGGTTAGGGTTAGGGTATGCCAACTGAACACCATTAATTAGATAGTTAATGACATTTTAGGTATAACTATTTCAATAAAAAGATATAATACATTAGGCTTACCATCTGATTTATAAAATATTTTAAATCCATCAGCGTGGTTGTGGCCATAATAGGCGACTTTAATAGTGTCATCATTAACATGAGTTTTGATGATACTGAGGAATCTGTCGTTAAAATTAGGATAAAACCACAACACATTGCTTGGTGTGTGAATACCTGGTGGTATATGTGCTGTTATTATAACCTGTAAAATAAAATGCAATTGCGTCTGATTTAAAAGATTATATTCAAGAATTGATGTTCCTATAAAATAAGGCGTCTTCAGTATAAGTGATTTGTATTGCTAATATCTCCAGCTTTTCCAACCCAGCGGTTCGTAGGACAAATTACCCCGGAATAAATCAGAACCATAAGGTCGCTGATGTGACTCAGCTTTCACAAAAGGGACATACAGTGCTGATGCAGGTAATGGGCCACCATTAATGTAATTCTCTCCATTTATAGGGTTTCTACTACTTTAGACCAATAGTCCTACTCCCCAGTTTGTTGACACTTTCGTATAGAATCAAAAATGGAAGTTTCAATTTTGTGCCAATTATTGACGCATATTCATGATGTTGAATAAGAAGGATACAGGTGCAATGGTGCGCCGATTATATGCTTTTAGACAAGACGTTGCCACATATCGCTTTATCGGCAGTAAAAAGCGTCCAGCCTAAAGAAAGTTGTACCCCGTCAGAGAGACGTTCACAAATATTAACGTCAAAAGAAGGGAATCTATATACACGGAAAGGGTAATACAATAACATATATACCACTGTCTTATGGTTCAAGGGGGGTGGGTCGCCGAATGGGTTAGCGTATGTGCGTTATATTATAAGGTCTGGCATTGGATCAAGTGGTGTGGTTTCGATTCGCCGCTTTTACGTGACAAGGAGTAGGGTCGTGAGTCCAACCTCGTCCCCCAGTTTCCTCCCACTGCTAAAGATCCCTACGAGCAAGCGAATTATTGAACTATAGTGGTGTTAGTCCCGAAAAAACCTAGTTTGTGTCGAGCGAGTGGACGTTACCCACCCCCCTCTCTCTCTCTTTTTTTTTTTCTCTCTCTCTCCCCCTCTCTCTCTCTCTCAGATATATAAAATAAAGTACCTTTTCGTTGTTGGTCTTAGCCGCAGTAAGTTGTTGGTCCAACCATGCAAACTGATCAGCCGGATCGGTCAAGTCAGTGGTCACTTTGTTCGATGTATAGTAAAGGTTGGTATTGAGCCCCAAAATCCTCAGACCATATTTATTTTTAACAGAATAAAAACCGCCTAAAAAGAAATGACGGCTTATATTTAATACAAACTCCAGATTAAAATACTTATGGAATTTGAAAGTCTCCTACGTAATTTTATATAATCTGAATATAATGTCACATGTATCAGTTTCACGTCATCAGTAGCCGAACAGCCGAACAATAAAGGGAATTTTATTTCAATAATCTGCTTGCGCGTTGGGGTCTTTAGCAGTGGGAGGAAACCGGAGGATACGGTGAAAAGCCACGAGTTTGGGCAGGGGACTCTACTCCTTGTCACGTACAAAAGGGAGAATGGAATCCACGCCAGTTCATTTAATGGCAGACCTTATGATACAACGCACACGCTCTAATCATTCGCCCCCTCCCAGGAACAGCAAGACGTCTAACCCAATTACATTTCATTACAGTTCTATATTTCAATTGATTACTGACTTATCTTCCTTTCACTACGTCGTAAGACTAATTATTTTGTCATTTAATCATTTCTTTGGAACCGATAATTCTGTGTTTCATATATTTTACCTAGATTATTTTTGTCTTTCTAAATAATAAAATAACATAATTTAGTATCATCGAGCTTAAAGGGGTGGAGGTGGTGAAATTGTGGTTCAGTGAAGAGGTCCAGTGATTGTTTAGTCCGCAAGACACCAGCCCACTCGTGTACTCGTTGGTGGGCACGTAAAAGACCCCCTGTAAATTAAAATTGGATAAAGAGTTCAAGTGTCGTATTGTCATCTTCATTATAGCTTAGTTCGTCCAGACACTAGGACGTTAAACACCATTTCATTCATTCATTCCTAAAGGGGCAGTCTGATCCAACATCTATAAAAAATATATAAGACTAGTTAGTATAGTAGTACGTCGAGTTACCTTTTTTAAACTGCTCCACCTGTTGTGTGTCGTTTATCCAGTCTTTCCACATATCTCCAATGCGTTGATAAATATCGCTTGTATTAGGAGAAAATTGGTCGCTTGGGTAATAATCATGGTTTCCTAACGTCGCATACGTTGGTATGTTGGGAAAATTTATTTTCAGTTCATTTGTAATATTTCTAAAGGTTTCCATGTTTTGGTCAATGGATAAATGTTCGTCGTGTATATGGCCAATGTTGTCCCTGAAATAAATTGTTATAGGAAAAATCAGATGAAAAGGTGTACAAAAATGTATGAATATTATTGTTATTAGACTTTTCGTCTCATTTTGGTACATATAATCATTAAAATAATATTTTAAAAGAAAAGATTTACTTTACCAAAATGTGATAAATGTCGGTTAACTTGTTATGAATATAGCACTAGATGCTTCCTTAAAGTTTCCTGTCGAAATAGTGCAGGACTGATTTTATTGCATATCAGTAAAACTAAAATGTAATGGTAGTAGGTACGTTTATTTAGTATGTTTTTAAATAAAATCGCAGTTTCTGTCAAAGTAACCTCTGTATAGATATACGCCAAAATGACGATAGAGACCGTAAGACCGTGTATTTCTCGAAAAAGAATCCCATGGCCGGGGGAGATTCCCCACCCCTTCAAAAAGATACATTGTCTCAGAAACCTGGCAAACGCACAATCCCCACCCGCCCCCCACCTGCAAGAATTCCTGGATCCGCCCCTGAGATACTTTGTTTTGTTTTTTCCACAGAATATTTTGACTACTCTGCATTATGGGTCATGTGTTTCTAATGCTTTTTGTCAATACCATGAAGTGTACTCTATTACTCTAATAAGGGTAATCGTATACTGCCTCGCGTGCGACTACGATAAACTAATTAACTACCAGTAGGACTATCATAAGAAGGGTAATGTAAATATGTTAGTGCAAAATAGGCATTAAAGAGTTTGGACAATTAAAGGATCTATTATTAAAATGGACGATAATGTAATTTTTATTGGAGTTTTTAATGAGCTTTGTTGATTGAAATATGAGATCAGTCCTAATTGATTGGTAGTCGCTCGCGACTGGTTAGTTCAGTCCACATCGAGAGTATGATTTGACAGTTCACGCCCTGACGGCGTAGAAGACGTCGCCGACTGATTTTGAAATTGTTCAATGAATCGTGAATGTTCGATACCGCCAGCAGTCCATATTTTCACAGTAGGATAACAACATCATCATCAATATTGACTGAAATGGACCAATGTGCTTGTAATGTAAAAAGACAGTGGATAATACAGAGTTAGAGTTCTACGCCCTTTAAAAATGTTACCCAGTCCATATAAGGAAGTCGACGTCCGCTCTGATCTCTTTCATCGACTTAATACTATCTTTTATCAGTAACCATGGTGAATCACACCAATAATCTCCATAGATACCAGGTGACGTCACTTCATTATTACACGATAACTGCTCTGTCCAATATGAAAAGTCGTAATGGAAATCAGTCACGTGCCATATCCATCCTAAAAAAAAAATGATATGTTTGAAATTATAGGACATAACTTTATAATTCGGAAAAATGCATCCAAAAGAATAGCAGCCATTAGTCTGTAGAACCGATGAACTAAACATAACTTGTTTATAGTCCACAGATGATACGCGTTACCAGATTCTGGACCTTACTTACGTGTTTTTATCATTTTGAACAACACAACTTCCCATTCCAAGCTATCAAAATCATTAACATTTTTATAAAAGTTAACATATAAAAAGCTGCATCTAATTCTTACCGATATCTTGTAAAGAATTTACTGGAATGGTTGTCATACACAACAAAACAACCATAAACTTCATCCTGTTTTGGTGAACGTAAAACTTCCAACTGAATCTAAAAATCAATTGCTGGTAAAAACGCCTACTGAAATAGAAATATTGTTAAATATACGATAGTTATCAAGGTTGCTTGTTTGATGGAGGATCACCGGTGGTTCAGTACGTTAGACGTTGACTCGATAACCTAGTGTTCACTTAGAAAGTACATTGGGATTTTCTGGCATGGTTCTACCTTGTCCGTGGTGCAGAACAGAGGGCCCTGACAAGCGAAAAGGTATAGTCGTTTGGACAATATGGAAAACCAAGGTCCCGTGTACACATTGGTGTTAACGTAAAAGATCCCTTGGCAGTTGCAATTCGATACAAGAATATGCCCATCTTCATTATCCCAGTTGGTGCAGAACAGTAGGACGTTATACTCTTTTTCATTTTATTTTTCGGTCGATAATTTACATTAAACCGCTTTTTTCCATCGGATATGAATATTTTCAAATCAGTGCATGACATATACGCCTACAAAATAAATGACTGTACAGGTTATCAATAAATAAGATAAACCCACTTCCGTGTACAACATCCTGACTTATTTCTATACAAACTGTTTCAAAGCGGTAATTCAGAAGCCTTATTATAATACCGTACAAGATGGCAGGCCTTTAAGGCCATACCCGGTATAGTTCTACGTGTGGCGTCACATCATTTGACGTCGATAACACGTAGGTTGTTTATACTGGACGTAGTAATGCAAACTGGTCCGGATAGAATTGGCACAATTTACACTTCTTTGTACCACAGTGCCGGAGTGGTGGGCCAAAGGCCCACCTGTCAGGTCATTGACCAACGCCCACACAAGTAAGCGCCGAAGGCGCGCGAGCGTCCATGGGGGGTTTGGGGGTTGGGGGGTTGGGGGGTTGGGGGCGGGTTCTCCCCCCATGAAAATTTTGAAAATTGGCAACGGCAAACCCATTTTCCAAGCATTTCAGACCAAAGCAGAAGAAGGCAAATTTTTGGTTTCCTGATACAATTAGATAACAGAATGACCTAAGAGCACTATCATTAGATGAATTTGAGAATTCTCTTCAGTGTCAAAAACAAAAACCTTTTATTCTCCGCGATGAAAATAAAGCAAATTATAATATAAAAGGTCTACCATGACACTATTTTGCCTGGTCTCCAGGCAGAAATCGAAAGTGAAACTGAAAGTAAAATCCAAACCCGGAAGTGATTAATTTTTCGCAAAAAACTCAAAACTGGAAAGTTTTTGGCGATTATTTCGGCGATAATGACTTATGAAGAACTAAGTAGAGTTTAAAAGATGAATTACACGGTTCTCGGTATAATGAGGGCAAACTCATAAAGTTCTTTCATTGTAGTACATTTCTTTTTTTGTTGTTGTTTGTCAGTCATTTTTTTCCTATCTTATCTTTCTCCTGTCCTTTCCTTCCTTCTTTCTTTTCTTTCCTCCCCCTCTCCTTTTTTCTCTTTTCTTTTTTTCTTTTTTCTTTATAGGCTTAGGCCCACTTTTTTAATGAGCTTAGGCCCACCCGTCACGGACAGATGGACAGGTGGGCCCAGTCCGGCACTGACCAGTTTATGTAAACAGGAAATATCCATATATACTTCAATAACCTTTTCTTTATCTCAACAATTTACAAAATTATTTAAAGGATTTGAATTACAAAAGAAATTAATATTAAGGGCTAATTAACTCGCCCCGATGTTATCCCTCCCAGAGTTGTTGGCGGTCAAGCGAAGATTTATTGCTGATCATTTTGATTATTATGCTTTACCGCAGTTGAATCATTTGTCTTCCTGGCCTTTTTAACGACCTATTTAGGCATACTCGGGAGCGTGTCCATGTGTGTGGCACGAGGAGAGTAGGGAGTGGAAGGAAGGTGGGGGGGGGGGTTTCCAGAAGGACTGGCACAACTCATATTCTTAAAGGACTACTATAATGTGCCGTCACTAAACAAGACCCCGTTGTAAATGCATATCAGATGATGCAGCACATTAATACGTAGAGAAATACCATGTGATTGACTAAAAATACTTGAATCTCTTGTAAGCTACGATAAGTCCGATTAGTTTAAAAATTGTTCAATTTCGTTCCATATTTATACAAAGACGTGATGAATTGAATATTCCGCAACATTCAGCACCCTACAGAAATAGGCGAACTCATTTGATGGATATGTTTTTATTCGCTTTAAATCCAAGGCGGGAGTTTATCTCCCTTTGATAGTACATTTTAACATGGATTAAACCTTGAAAACTTCGATAATAATACTTAATATCACTCCCCCCTAGGCTATATTTGAACGGCTATTTATTTTAAGAATCTAGATTAATACACGATAATTTATATCCTTATTGTCGACTGATATGTCATAGCTGTTATGTTAAATACGATATAAATAACAAATGAAGTTTCATTTTCCTGTTAGATAAAATTTCCTTGATATTGTACTAGAGTTTTCTTTATTTACATGTTTTCAAGTGTATGTGCTATACACCACCGGTTTTTAAATTTACAGTGCAGTACTGCCCGGGGGTTGGGTGGTTGAATGGTTAAGGCGTGCGCGTTTGATCATAAGGTCTGTCAATGAGTCAAGTGACATGGTTTCGATCCCGTCTGTACATGACAAGGAGTGGGGTCGCCTGTCCAACCCCGTGACTTTTCTCTGGGTCCCCGGGTTTCCTCCCACTTCTAAAGACCCCTATGCGCTAGCGAAGTATTGAAATAAAATTGAACCATAAGTTAATCCCCAAATGATCTGTTTTGTATCGAGTTGACGTTACCCTCCCCCCTCCCAACTCTCTCAGTACTGCCCCATTGAAATGGAATAAATTGGTTCATTGCCTTACTATTTTGCACCAACCGGGGACGTTAAAGTGCTGCCATCCGAAAGTCTAGACGCTTTAGCTTGCCAGCTCCTAGTCTCGCACTACTGACACAGAAAATCAGCCAGGATTCTCCTGAGGAACTTTGTGGATCATTACCGGTATAGAACCCAAGAACCATGACAAGATACTACCAAGTCAAGATAAAATTAAAATCAATATATACCTTGCTATTTCTTATTTACACACCGGAAACTACAATATCCTGTTACAATAAACTATAACTATAATAAAAGTCTACACACATCTCATATTTAACTTACAGTTGATAACGTTATCTATGGTGTCACAATATCACGGATTTCTATGCTAACATGACTATACAATTACTGTAGTATGCTGTAGTCTTTCTTAATAAATGTCTATATAATAGCGTTACGGTGAACATGTTTAGGCCTACGCTTTTCAATGATATACATGTAATCTAACAAGTCTTGTAAATGAATTAGCCATGTAAACTTACCATAATGTAAGAACCCCGCTTCCCGACCATACCGAAAACTCGGAAATCTCGGAAAACTCGGAAATTTCGGATTTCTTTTCCGAGTTTTAACAGTTCCGAGATTTAGGTTTTGACTCACGCAACCAAACATACGCCCACAGCAGCTAGGTCATCCGGGCAGTCAACAAGTGTTGTCGCATATTTTTTCTTTTGTCAGTAATGAGAACATTTACAACACATGAAAATCTGATTACAGTAATAACAGATGAAGTAATCAGAAAATATTAGAATTTGTTTCGATTGCTTGTCACATGACTCCAACCCCGTGGGTTTTCTCCCGGTCTTCCGGTTTCCTCCCACTGCTAAAGACCTCTACGCGCAAGCGAATTATTGAAATAAAATTAAACCATATGTTAGTAGCCAAATGACCTAGTTTGTGTCGAGTGGACGTTAAACCCCATTCCTCCCCCCCCCTCTCTCTCTCTTGTCTCATGACCATAAACAATTTATATGAAAGATACATTATGAGAGATTAGATAAAGAGCTGGCAGTTCGCACTATAATAGTTAAAAACTAGATAATATATAGGGAATTTGCTGAAAATTTCAGTCAAATTGATCCACTCTGAACCGAGAATTTAGCGATTGAATTTAAGGCCTAGCCTCGATCATCATTACTAAAGTCGGTACGATAAAAAACATAATCTCGATTATCCATTTTTTGATTTAATCATCAATGAGCGTTGAGTAGTATTCTAATCCAGTAAACATCGTAGACTAGCAATGACATCGAGAAGTTATTTATATCTAATTAATAATTTAGATAACATTTCAGGCCTAAAGAAAGACTTGAAATAGGCAGATCTAGCTCTTGCATAATGTATGTTTAACTTTAGCCCTTATCGTCAATACGATATTTCAAAGAGATCAAGGGCATTAACTCTTGCAGTAACTGTGTATAAAGTCAGTCGGATATTAATTTCAGCCTCTGGAGCGTCCACAAGATTTTCAAAAGTGTTCCAGGGCCAGAACTCTCTTAGTAATTATCGGAAATCGTTGACAATCAATAGGATTCTTCGTCTCATCACCTTAAACACTGTGTATAAATTCAAAGTCAATCGGATATTAACTTTAGCCACTAGAGCCTCCACAAGATTTTTCAAAGTAATCAAGAGCCATAACTAGGACAATAATTATCGGAAATTGATGCAAATCAACAGGATTCTTTGTCTCATGATCTTAAACACTGTATATAAATTTAAAGTCAATCGGATATTAACTTTAGCCTCTAGAGCGTTCACAGGCAATTGTGGACGCCGGACGGACGAAAAAAGATTCCGAGTTTTTGCTACGCCCCCACCCTTCCCCATAGATTTTCCCTGTAACAAGTGACATTAATATTCCCAAAGGAGGGATTGTTTCGTGACCTACCCATCGTACATATTTATTTCAAGAGTTCGGTTGTCACTTACCAGCCGAAACCACATACCTTATACGCTAAATTGCACGCGTTAAACCAATTCAAATAATTGAATAGATGTCCACATATGTACACTTGTGAAACACCAATGTTTAGTTTGCATGTATTCTATTGCATATTATGCAGTTATAGGGATATGCAAGCACGTACGATATTAAACAATTAAACATTAAACGTATAGCGAAGTGTCAAAATGTAGGACAGAAACAACTGAAACACGGTGGTTATTGTCAATAATATTTACAAAGATGACAGAGAAATTTACCTGTTTAGCGGTGCTGATTTTGTTTCTAACTACCGTAGACTGTGATAAGAGTTATACAGGGAAGACCGCGTATTTTACTGATTAAATTTTCATAGTGTTAGGCTTATAGCGTACAACTAATACTTTGGTTTTCGATAACGTTTTCCGAATAGAGAGATACATTTAATAAAAGGTATAAACAAACATAAATTACATATCCACATTAATACACAGCCATCAAGAAGAATGCGTAGAATTAATTATTTGCGGGGTTGAAGTGCTTCGAGTTAAGCTTTGCCTACCGAAAGACGATGCTGCTGATTGGTTAGTTTGTCATAGGAATATCTTACCCTATCCCACTCCTCCACATCGCTTGAAATGGACTGCCCATTAGTATTAATGAAACGTTTGAAAGATTTTGGCCAACTTTAGACTCAAAATTAAAAAATGTGACCGAGTCTTGGGACAATTTCTACTGTTACTTGATAATGAAAGGGTTTAAGTTAATCTGATCCGCAAAGATTAGTTGATATAAATATACTCACCCGTCTAACGAGTTTAAATAATATGAATTGTTGCTGTTGTCGTCGTTGTTATTGTCGTAGTTGTAGTTGTTAAAGCAGTTGGTTCACAGCCCAGTGTGGAGAACATAAATTATCTGCGTTTGATCAGAATGTAAAGAAACCCCAACTTTTTAGCAAATAATTTCCTGATCACATGCCGTATACTGCTCAATGAATGCAATAGCGTAGCGTGACCCCGCTGAATTCATTCATTCATTTCCTATCGCTTCGTCACACAAGATTGGCTAGGGTATTAAAAACAGTCATTTCCTTTTTGCTTAGCTTTCCGCTTGACTTCACTTTTACTTGACGTTTCACACACAGACAGTCTTTGTCCCATTGGATGTAAATATAAATACAAAACTATGAAACACCGGACCCTGTATGTATACCTCTATAGCATCACCACAACGAAACTTCACTATATAAGTTATGGTATAAATACTAAGTTTAGTTTAGTTAATAATCCCAACATGGTTAGCGCAGCATAAAGGCTAGTCTATACTTTCCCCATCAGCGTCGGCGGAAGCAATTCTTGATTGGAGGAGAAGGGTGGGGGGACTACCATTCTAGGACCGTTGGAGAGAGTCCAGGGGCCGCCTAACCCGCGGAAGTTCCTAGTGACCTAGATCACCAGAGACGCTTTCTTGCTAATGAAATTACTCAGCAATGAAGTGAAATTTTATTTCTTTTCTAAATATCTTACCATGCAAACACAGTCGATGGTGGTTTCCTGCGATGCTGAACTTGACAAATATATGCATAATAATACCAAGGTTGTGGACACTCTAGAGGTCACATTTGTGATGACAATGTATGTTTTAAAACGAAAGATCCCGACATTTGATTGTCAAAACCGGAAAATATATCACCGTTACATAATAATTACGGCAGAGTTAAAATTTCGTGAAATCTGACAGAAACTGTCCGACAACATGGTTGCTACCCTTATAAGCATGTAATACCTAGGTTGTGTGCCACCCGGAGGTTCAAAGGGATTATGACCCCTGATTGTACGAAATAACACGATTTAAGCTTGTGGATCCTCTAGAGGTCCCTTTTTTTTAGCTTATTTTCAAAACTGTCAAAAATATCACCGTTACATCATAATTATTGTTGAGTCCGAATTTCGTGAAAATCGAACCGAAACTTTCAGTCAAATGGCCACTCTCCTTTACGCAAATATTATAAAAGCATGTAATGCCAAATGTTGTCGACCATCTAGAGGTCAGAATTTTTATCCGATTTAGAAGAACTTAAAACGCGTATCACTAGCTCTTGGATGAGTTCAATTTTGGTGTGCATTCGTCCCTTGCTTTTTCCGCAAAATGCGAAATATGAATGAAGTTTGTGGACCTTCCTGGGGCTACAATCTTTGTCCGATTCATGGGATGGGACATAAACTATGTGTTAAGGATCAAAAGTTCTTGGATCAGTTCGACTTTGGTACGCAGCAAACCTCAGATTCTTGAGCTATAGTCCCTGCTTTTTACGCAAAATGTGAAATACAAATGTACGTATAAATTTTTAGGCCCACCTGACAGGCTACCATTATTGTCCCATTCTGATGAAACTTAGATATGTTATGGATCAAAAGATCTTGAATGAGAGGATGAGTCCTATTGATTTTACCTCTTCCCCATACATTTCTTGAAAAATATGGGCGTATTTTGCATGACAACCACTTGTTTTAACTGGTCATAACTGATAGCAGTGAATTATTTGATAAATAAGGGACACAGAGAAAAACTCTATCCCGTCATTTTTGTTTAATTACCTAATCTGTAATAGATACAACGGAAGTTTAACTAATCGAGACACTCGTTACTGGGAGTCTCCTTAGCCCAGGGATCAGTATAGAGCATAAAAGGGTTTTCTTCTGAAAGTCTACTGTGTAGAAGTCTCACTTCTATGTTAAAATCAGACCTCGTTGTATCTAACGGCATAATTACTTGGGTGCAATAACCCGGAAAAAAGAGTACTTGCGGCCAAAGTAAAAGCGGGAGGGGGAGGCTATTCCACCGAGCTTGCCCATTCCTAAATATGCCTAAAGAAATCTGAGTCATTCGGAAATCAAATGCCAGATGCTTGTCTAGTGTAGGTTAGAAACAGATCAGTTTGGTTAATGGCACAATCGTGTCTTCTGATATACTTAGCGACCATTCCTCTAAAATCATTACAAAGGTATTGCTTCTGGGTACCAGTTGGATAAAGTAATGCCTAATCTGAAGTAAAAGCGGGCGGGCGGAAGAGGGGGGGTGCTACTCCGCCGGGCCTGCCTAAACAAATCCGAGTCAATCGGAAATCAGATGCCTGATGCTTGTCTAGCGTAGGTTAGAGACAGATAAGTTTAGTTAATGGCGCAATCGTGTCTTCTGATATTCTTAGCGACCATTCCTAAAATCATTACAAAGGCATTGCTTCTGGGTACAAGTTGGATAAGTAATGCCTAATTTGAACCAAACAAGGGATTTAGAGAGGCCCTCGTTCCTTTCATTTATCGAGATTCTATATAGCTCTGATAAACATCGTATAGCATTGCCTAAACCTAAAATGGCAAAGATTGGTTGCTATTCCACGAAATGGTTAAATAGTAATTAAGCTTTGACAAATTTGTAATTACAATTATCTCTTTCAAATTATGACTGATTTGAACATTTCAGCCAACATTTGATTTTCTTTTTATTTTAGGATGGTTTTGGCATGTTACTGATTTTCATTACGATTTCTCTTATTTGTCAGAAAAGTTGACATGTACTCACGACGTGACATCACCCGGTATCTATGGAAACTACTGGTGTGATTCACCATGGTTACTGATTAATGATAGTATCGATGCTATGAAGAATGTTAAGCCAGATCCAGACTTTATTCTTTGGACAGGGTTAGTCATTTGTACTCCTATGACACCCCACAGTATCACATACCAGGAAATGGCGTGACTTAAATGCCCATAGGAACGCACAGGCATCACTATTAGAATGGCGAAGTTGCTGGTCTCATTCAGCAAGCATAGCTGTCTGTTTTTGCAAACAATAAAAGGTCATCGGTTTGCAATATCCGATATTGCTTCCGATACTGAAACACCAAGTGAACGTGATATCAATCCAGGCCAAGACCATATCTGTGTGTTTTTTAAATTAGAGAGCAATACTTTTGTAACAGAAATAAAAATAAAATATGTGATCAAAGAACTAAGATATTAGAAACAAAAGTCGCAATTAAAGAATAAAATGTATTCTTTATATAAAAAAGGCATATTGTTTCAAAATGTCTTCAAATTGATAAATCCTAAATATTTATAGCCATCGTGAGGCCAGCTAAATTTCCATTACTCTCTATTGACAATATCTTTATCCACGAACATCAATTCTGAAATTGCATTTCAGGGATAACGTTGGACACATTACGAAAACCCGTCTAAGCACTGATTTGAATTTAGCAACAATTCAGAACATAACGTCTAAACTCCAGGAATCCTTTCCTGGTACAGTTACTTACGCAACTCTTGGTAACAACGACTACTATCCCAAAGATCAATTTCCAACAACAACCAATAAACTTTATGTAGGGGTTTCTATCATGTGGAGTGACTGGTTAAAAGAGACAGACCAAATCCAATCAATGAAGAGAGGTAACACTAAAATACATTTAATAAAATGGAACTAACTTTATTTCTCTTTGTGACTTAGTAGAAGTAAATTAAAGTGCATTAGAAAAAATGTCTAATTTGTTATTTGATTTTAAAACAGGAACATTGTGATTAGTTTGGCTGTATGCACATAAGGTCTCAATGCTATTGCATTCTTGGAACATAGGCATACATACATGACATAATACGAGATACAGAGCACAGGGTATATAAGGATAATAGCACTGCCAATATGGACCACTAATTAACATGCAATTATACAGCTAGGTACTACTATAACATAAATCCATATGAGCATTGCCTTAACTTACTTTCTTTATTATATTTTTTTAGCGTTTTCCAAAATTCTATCCGGATTATCGCCCTTATTATTGACATTTTCACCCGTGATGGCATCAGGCAGACTGTCTATTATCCACCCAGAGGACGACCACCGCCAAGGCCGGTTATTTTACTTCTTTCTTGTAAATTATTTCTTGTAACGCTTACGACTGCCATGACCTGTGGGTCCATTCATTTGACTTGGTAGTTGTTGTTTATTTTTTGCAATGTCTGTGTAGGTTGTCTTGTCCGCAGATTTGTCTCGCGCGTAGTGCGGTCCCTCCTGCACTTACTAATACACAGGGAACTACCCGTATTGTCGTTTTGATTGCACACTGAGCATTGTTTTGTGTTTACCTGAATCCTCTTTCTTTAATATTGAAGTTGGCTATTATTCCCTGAAGACAAAGCATGGTTTACGAATTTTTGGTCTCAACACTAACCATTTTTATTCTGCAAACAAAATGACGGCTAATCTAACCGATCCTGCTGGACAACTCACCTGGCTTGATCAACAACTAACCGCTGCAAAATCAAACAATGAAAAGGTAAGTTGATCCTTTTTATAGTGATTGTTTGTGAAATCGAGAATTTAAATCTATTATAGAATTATTGGAATAATTCGACTCTTCGTCCGTTTATTCGTTAGTAATTCATTGTATGACCGGGGAAGATAAGAGATGAATTATTGGGAACTGACCAACCGTTGCAGATAGTACCCTAGAGCTCTTTAACGTATTAGCCATATCCTTTATTAAGATTTATGTCCATCTACATTAACATCTAGTGTTTAAAGTCAATGTGCAGATCTTGTGAATTGTTTGATAAACAAACTTAGCTACATTGGTATACAGGGCTGCATATCTTTGTGAAATATGGGATTGATTCTGAGTGGTTTAGGGATTATAACCGTTTGCAATACAATTGTATATTAGAATTTCAGAAATTGCTATTAGGTTTTATCTAAAACATCTGGACTACTTGACAAGACGCCTTTACTTACAAGGCACCACTGACAAGGGGAAGCTAGTCTGGAAAATCCCTAGCCATCTTCTCGGTATTGAATCTTGTCTGTGAACTAATGAAGGGAATTCCCAAATTACATTCCCGTTTCCACCAAGTCTTCATCGGATTCTAACTATCAATGTTCATATTACATACACAGGTGGGCCCCTTTTTTATTCCATGCGAACGACTAGACACTTTTACTTGTCAGACACCCTGACAAAGGGAAAAACGGCTGGAAAATCCCAGGCAACTTTCGGACAGCACCCGGATCGAATCCAGGAACCCTTATTAGTGAGCCAGTTCCACGGTGTCACCATGGCTCCTTAGGACATTGAACAATCAAACAGGATCTAAAATTCAGATTTGTTGAAGTCAACTTAAGACTAACAATCTTGTTTATTTTATAATTTAAGGTTCTGATAACTGGTCACATACCACCAGGTATATATTATCCTCGTGTTAAAGTCTACTTCCATCACCAGTTTAATGACCTGTCTCTATATCATAAATAAACATGTTGATAATGACGTCATAACAGCCATGTATTTCGGGCATACCCATGCAGATACGTTTAAAATATTCTATAAAACTGATGGTAAGAATGAGTTAAATCTTGTTAAAGGAGCATTATGGGACATTAGATAAAGAGTTGACAGTACTCGCTATAATAGTTAAAAATAGATAACGTAAATAGAATATACTGAAAATTCCAGTCAAATTTCTTCAGTCTGAACCGAGATATTAGCTTTTGAATTTTAGGCTGATCCATTTTTGCGTTTAATCATCCTTCATAAACTGTATTCCAATCCGCTAAATATCGCAGGCTACCGATGGCATCGAGAGTTGATTATGGTCTGGATAAGTTGATTAATGTCTAATTAATAACTTAGATAACATTTCAGGCCTAAAGAAAGATCTGCAATAGGCCGATTTAGCTCTTGCATAATGTATGTTTAATGTCGATTTTTAGTGGTTAAAAATAGTCATTTAAAAGGCGTGCGAATTAAATCAACTCTTCGTTTCACTATGACGCAGGGGTGACCGCACAGTTCAACATGACTGAATATTGAAGGTAAATTAAGTGCAGTAAAAACACGTAAACAACTAAGTTTACTGAAAAACAACTTATAATTTGACATATATTGCTAACCGACCAAGTCGGTGCAGAAAAGTAGGACATTAAAAGCCCATTTCATTTCAATTTCACATTGCTTAACCACTGAGCTAGCATTCATTAATCTAAAATAGTATTTTTATATTGAACCTACATTACACATTCAAATCAAAAGATATCCAATAATATGTTTAATAGAAATCTATTTCTACATCAACCTATCCTTAATCGGGCACTAAACTTCGATGTGATAACCGTATTTGAGATAATGGAGAGAGAGAGAGGGTGGGGGTGGGGGTGGGGGTGTGTGCTTGGGCGTAGGAGTCTTTAGCTGTGGAAGGCTAAAACCCAGGGGGTCGGACAGACGACCCTACTCCTTGTCACATACAAGCTGGGAAGCGAAAAATGAGGATCTAACGGGCACACGTTTAAGCATTCGCCCCTCGCACCCGATCCACCACAGGGTTCACCCAATCTCGTGAAGCGTAAGTTATAAATCACTCAACATTTTGTTGTGATTAGGTAACATTTCGGAAATGAAATGAAATGGGGTTTAAGTTAACGTCCTACTGTTCTGCATACGCCATACAGTGTGCTATGAGGGAAATTTTGCCCGGGCAGCGGCGGTACGGCCTATATCGAATCCAACTGCCAAGGGATCTTTTACGTGCACTCCAATATGTACACGGGACCTCGTTTTTTCGTCCCATCTGAACGACTAGACAGCTGTCCTTGTCAGGCCCCCACCCTGCATCACTGACAAGGAGAAACCACGCCGGAAAATCTGGATGAACTTTCTCAGCCAATGCAGGGATCGAACACCCGACCTCCAGGCTAGCGAGCCAGCGTCTTACCCACTTAGCCACGTGATCCCCTATACATTTTGGAATACATTTCTCGATATAAAAGCCATCCTATCTTTGGAAGTAATGGAGAAGATAGCTTTTGGGAGTAGTCAAGGGGTGGGGGAATGGCGGGGGTGATGGCCTAGTGTTCTAGAGTGTCACGCTTCGACCTCTAGCTTGCCAGTCACCTCTGACTTGCGGTTTTGGTTTGGATCCCTGGTGTAAGCGTATGTGGCTTGGGGATAGGGGCGCCTTCTCAACCTCGTGGGTTCCTCCCACAGAAAAGACCCCTGCGCGTGCGATACGATAAAAAAAATGAAAATAAGACAAGCGGACGTTAAACACTAACATAGGAGTAGTGCTTGGCAGGGGCCCCTATTTAATTAAGTGCGCCATGGCCCCCATATGTCTTAATCCGGCACTGTTTGTTTTGTTAAATGTGGATTTGATGTCACAGTGAATTGACAGACTGCCTAGAGGTCTTTCCTGTGGGAGGAAACCAGAGTATACGGAGTCAACCGATGAGATTGAAAAAGCCTCCCTTATCGCCAGCCACACACGTACACTAAGCGCGACACTCTAGCCCACTAGGTCCTCGTTAAGTCTCAGGAAGTCTTCATTCTTTGATACTAGAAAATAATAACGGACAATCGTTTGAATATGACAGAATGATTAAGCGACGTAAAATCCCCATCCACAAAACGTCACAATAATGAAGTTAACTGTGTCTTATTGGTGTCAATTAATTTCTAGAGCGATCTTTTTCGATAACGGAATTATTCATACCTTTTTTCGGGCTTACCATCATCTTTTTAACCGTAGTTTATGATATTTTACAGGCTCCCCAGCGTTTCCTATCTTCACGTCACCGTCTGTCACACCATTTAGACGGTTTAAGCCTGGAGTAGAAACAGGACCACGTCATAACCCAGGCATCAGACTTATCAGCTATGATAGAGCGACTGGACAACCTACCAACATTCTAATGTATTACATCAATTTACCTGATAGTAATGCTAATAACAGAACAGATTGGAAGTTGGAGTATAACTTCACACAAGTCTATAATGTAAATGACATCACGGCTGGATCTCTGCATCATCTGACACAGAAAATGTCCAAGGACAGGACATTGATTGATACATACAATCAATTTCTGTATGTTTCTGTGGAAGATCCAGATCGTGGTAAATGTAATGGCGAGTGTAGTCGGGGTATTTTGTGTGGTTTCACCGAATACACCATGCAGAAGTTCAAGGCTTGTAAAAAGACATATCTGACCTCTGACACCACTAATTTTAAAAAAGCGCCATTTGTATCTTTTTATATTCTTTTAGTAATGTTATATAACATGCACTTTTTATAAACAATATAATTTGTCCACTTAGTACATATTTTATTCTTGAAAAAGCTTAGTTGCGCAGGGTTTGCTGTTTTTTTTTTTAACTTTTTGTGTTCATTAAAATTGAAGATGCATGAGAATGTAGGTTGGACAACATCTTGTCTCTGATTCTTCAATAGGGTAAAAGCAGGGCCGGAATTTTACGTGGGGGTAGGTGTATGGGTATATGTGCATGCATGTCTGTGTGTGTGTGTGTGTGGGGGGGGGGGGCTAATTGGGCTGCAGGCGCCCCAAATTAGTTCTAAAGCAGATCTGTACCATAATCATCTGTGTTTGTGCCAAGTTAATCTATTTAACATATTGCCATACAAGTTTCATTTGTATGACAATGATCAGAATATGCCAACTTTTCACTGTTGATACAAGGGCCTCAATGACATTTTCAGTCAGGGAAACCACCCAAGCTTAGTAACCATATTATTGCGGTGATTTGCAGGTCTCTATTCAGAATCTGCCAAACACATTATGGTATAATTCTAACATTTATGCACTGCGTGGGCAATACAGACATTTTCCATGTATCTTATCCCTTTTATTGACTCAAGGGGAATAACTCACAAAAACAACAGGACTTTCACTGGTATTTAATTTACTTTTGTAATTTATCTATTTGTAGCATGGCGGTACCATAGTCTTTTCAGTGTTTAGGGCCTTTACGGGTCTTAATCTGGCTCTGTATCAAAGCATTGATCAAAAGCATGCATGATTCGTACGGAATCTTAAAACGACCGTAATGTAGTGATGTAGACATGTATTCATTCCAAGTTGAAAAAGAACCCACCGACATTACTGAATAGGCAAATCACGTTGTATGTTTCCAAAGTTCTAAATGCCGAAAAAGGTACATTCTGTGTATATTCTCACGTCGGACATCCATGGGGCTTTCCGTTTACTAACGTTGAGGGGTATGAACAAGAGAACTATCGTAGTTGCGAGCAATCTAACAGAAGATATGGTTGATCACGCCAATATAGGCCGAGATGTTATTCTTTTCTTGTACGCAGATCCAAATCGTATGCCCATGCCAAACATATTTGGCTACATGGAATGTATCCTGACTATGACACTAAGTACGTTAGAAACACTAGGCATGGGACCCTGTTTAATTCGTTCGTACCGGCTGATACCGGCTGACCACAGTTCAACAGTCGAGATCATTAAACAACTTAGAATACAGACACTATCCAG